GATATATAAGACAAAAAGTGAAAACAAATAGCTATGAATCAATGCTTCGTTTCGCAGCTATACTAATATCTCATTATATGACTATATGATTTTTATTACTAATTCACATCCACTACCTATTTTTAGTTAAACAAATTAATATACCAAATTATTGTTTGATCAAAGTCAAAATAATCTCACTCCGCGCAGGGCGCGGGTCGACACCTAGTTGTACAATAAAGGATATAGAAAATACATAAAAGAAGATTAAAAAAGAAGATGGGAAATCAGTAGACCCCAACAGCAACATGAAGGGGAACTTACCTAGCTTGAACCCTTAATTTTGAGTCTCTAAAGCGAGAAGATGAAAGAGCCAGACTGTAGCATGTCTGGCTATGTATGAATGGTGGCGCTGATCACGAGTGACACTAATAGCAATAGCCACTGCTGCTTCGTTGCGATCTCGGTGGGCATGATCAAGACTCCATATGTCTATCCTTTCCAAAAGGGAGAGAATATTATGGCGTATGAGGCTGAAGTCATAGGGATGTTGGCACTCTGGCTGTGTGAGAAAAGTATGGAGGTCGATGGACGATGTCTCAAAAATAATATTTTTGAAATGTAAATTAGCCATACATTCAACCGCCCAAAACAAAGCCCATAAATCAGCCTCGGTTTTTGTACGCATATGAGAGTACGCCCGACGGCTATGCATGATCGTAACCCCATTACCATCACGTAAAATCCATGATGCCCCACTAGGTTGATTGGATTTGACCCAAGAAGATCCAATATTACATTTTAGGAAGCCCATGGATGGGGGTTTCCAGCGGATCATTTCCGTAACGGTATTAGTATCCACATCAGCCCTTTCAGTGAAGGTATCAAACCATTCAGATTCTGCTTCATAAGCTTTTGTAGCCACGACCGAAGCATCTATCACTTTACTCTCAAAAGTAATGGTATTCCGAGCCTTCCAAATTTCCCATAGGAGCCATGGGAATACTTTCCTTGTATGGTTATCCATATTGATGTTCTTGGCAGTCTTATTCAGGTGCACAAAATTTAAAAAAGTGGAAGTGCACGAAAAACCCCCAGGAGGAACCGGAAAACTCGATTGTTCCCATGTGGCTCTTGCTTTATCACAAGTAAAGAGGACATGACATATACTCTCAATCCCATTTCCACATACATAAAAAGTTTGATCAATATTGATACCCCGAGTAGCCAACCGTTGTTTGACAGCTAAAGCACCAGAAAGAGCACGCCACATAAAGTGTTTGATTTTAGGTGGAGCCTTCGTCTTCCATAAATCCTTCCACAAATGTTTTTCAATGGGGCTAAGAGGAACCTGTGGAGGATGTTCATAATCCAAAAGAGCCTCTGAAAACTTATAAGCACTTCGGGTCGAATATGTACCATTTGATGTAAAACCCCATTTAAAAGAATCTTGGAATTCAACTGCCGGTTTCAGTAATAATATTCTTTGAACATCTTGTGATGTGAATGTCTGATGTAACAAATTAGTATCCCATTGGTTAGATCCTTGAATCAGAAACTTTCAACGCTAGGTTTATGGGACTATTTTCCTTGAACATTGGGGAGCGGGGAATAGTATCAATAATCCAATTTTCTGCCCAAACGTTAGTATCCTTCCCGTTACCAATATGTCGAAACAATCCCTTTTTGAGTAGATCTCTACCATGCATGATGCTTCTCCATGCGAAAGACGGACGTGTTCCCATTCCACAGTCTAGGAAATTACCATTTCTGAAATATTTACCCTTAAGAATGCGAGAAACCAAAGAGTCCGGACTATTCCAAATTCGCCAGGCTTGTTTTCCGAGTAAGGCCTGATTGAAACGGCCAATGTCATGAAAACCAAGCCCTCCTTGTTCCTTGGGTTTACATAATTTTTTCCAAGCTACCCAGGGGATCTTTCTTTTCTTATCCCCACTACTTCACCAAAACTCAATAACTGCACTCGTAATTCGTTCGCAAAGACCCTTTGGTAACCGGAAAACCGAAATTGCATATATTGGGAGAGCTAATGCGACTGACTTTATTAAAACTTCCTTGGCTCCCATCGACAAAGTTTTGGAATACCACCCTTGCAAACACCCCTCTAATTTCTCTTTTATGAAGTTTAGGAGATCTTTCTTTGATCCCTGAAAACATTCGGGAAGTCCAAGGTATGAACCCTCGCCACCTTCCTTTTCAATCCCCAAGACCATCTTTATTGCTCGTTTTTTGTCCTCTGGTATTTTTTTCCAAAGATGATGGAGGATTTCAA